AACTGATCTGTGAGATCCTGTGAGTATTTCTCCCTCAGTGGCTGACACACAGAAGCCATGACACTGTCACTCAACTTCCTAATTTTAAGTATGGCAGCAAATTCTTCAACAATATTTGCTGTTGTTTGGAACCGAGTGTCCAAGTCACTTATGATCTGGTCCATGGCAGTGAAAAACACAGTGTTACGGAATGTTGTTTCTGGCCTATCCTCCTGACCTGTTCCTTCAGCAGTTTCATCATGAAACCTCTTCCTCCTCCTCTCACGGCAAAGTTCTTTTTTGAAATGAGGTGGAACCTCCATTTCCCTAGCTACCATTGATGCCTCAGACAGAATAGCATCCCATCCATTTCTGAGAGTCTGCATCTCATCTCTTAGTGCAGCAACATTACCTGCCTCCACCTCTATTGAGATTTTCCCTGACTGGAGTATCACATTTCTGTCACCAATAGATTGCAATACTTTCACCCAAATGGTGAGAAGGACAATGGCATCAAATGACATGAGGTAGTTCCTCAGACCAACAGCTTCAGATCTGGCCTCACCTGTGAGACTGCATGAGCTCAGTATGGTAGCAAGGGCTTCAATGACACCAGGTAGGTGCTTTGCTACAGGTTTCACAGCATCAATTCTCGCACTCCAGCGAGTGTCAGATAGCCTATGTACTTTTTGTATATAGACCAACGAGATGGACTGGCACTTACAAATGTGTAGAGGCGGTTAATGTAACCAAAAAAGTTGGACACTTCAGGGCTCGATTCTGCAGCATGCGTGTGGGAGGCACAAGGTGAGAAAGTAGCAAGATTATTCTTTTTCAGTATTTGGGCTTGGACTCCCTTGATTTTCCCTGACATATTCGCCTCATTATCATACCCTTGCCCCCTGCAATCACTAATGTCTATCCCTAGATCCAGAAGCACACTCTCCATCATGCCTGCTATTTCACATCCTGTTTTTCCGTTGAAATCTTTGAATTCAATAAATCTTTCAGTGATCTCCCATTCGCCTGTGTCTTCATTATAATGTACATATCTTATGAGCACAACATTTTGCTCGGTGTGGGAAATGTCAGGCGTTGCATCACAAATGATTCCATAGTATATGGCATCCTCCCTTTCCGTCAGAATGGTTTTTAAAACCTTTCCCCCACACAATTCAATAAACTCGTTCTGGATGTCTGGGCTCAGATAATGAGTTAGCTGGCTTCCTTTTTTGGATGTCCTGATTTTGTCTAAGTGGTCTTTCAAGAGTGGATCATATCGTGACAAAAGTTCTAGCGTACCTACAACATTTCCATTGTGGACATTGCCCAAAGCATGCGTTTTACCTCGGAAAGCTAAATTCCTCGTTGCCAAGTGCAGAGTGACATCAAGGAGTCTCTGCAAGATAGCTTTGTTTTTCTCAATTTCAGACTGTAGCTCTCTCTGCAACTGATGATCAACGCCACATGCAGTCATAACCGAACACTGTAGGTGTTTCCATCGCAAATAACAGTCCCTGTGATTCCTACTTGTTTCATGGCTTGGGAATTTATCATACATGCGACGCCACTCGACGTCACACATCTTGTATCCCTGGTCCCTACTCAAAGCACTAAGAGAGAGTATTTTTTGCTCCTAGGAGAAAAGAACACATGGTATGCAGAACAGTGCATTTGCACTTTCACTGTGAATCAACCAGTCCCTTTTCACTTTTCCCCTACCCTTATCTGCTTTGGTGTATTTCAAGTAATCTGGAAATCTCTTTCCCTTTGAATCATGTGGAAATTCTTGATCTGTTTCTCGCATTGCTAATTTCTTTACAATAGTTGCCCTGTTCTTGTCACTCATCCTAGCTGGGAACAACCCTGGGTCAAGTGATAGCAGATCTTCTACCTCAGACACCACTACAGGTGGCTCAGTATCTGTGGCATCCTGTGTCGGAGCCTCACTTTGTCCCTGACATTGACTGTCCATAGCTGCTTCCTCCTCATCTGTGCTGCTTTCATGGTCCTCGACCTCTTCTTGTACTGGTACTTCTGCCTCTTCACCTCTGCTCTCCTCGTTGGCTGCCTTGCTCGAGGGCCCTGGCTCTAGAGTATCCATAGTGTACATAATTTATAACATGCCCTATAATAGTAATAACACAGTACAGCTCGAGCTATCTCTTAATTGTTATAATAATAATAATAATAATAATCATTTGTATAGATATTTTCCAATTGCTCAAATCTAGCTATAGCTACTGTAACAACCTCAATTTAATGTGCCAGTGGTCAATGGTATTGCAATTACTGGAAGAACTAGAGTAACTAAATGTGAATATTACCTAAAGTTGTATTCAATGCATGGTAAGCATATTTAAAATCTGTTTGTTAACCCCAAGCCCTGCTGCTTTACCTCCCTCTCCTTCAACTGGGAGCTGGCCTGAGGGAAGGGGTACTGATCCTGAAGCCGCATCTGTGCATTAGAGCAGATGTGATTAGCATGTAACATTATACAGGTTAGGTTAGCTAGCCATAGCAAAAGGGCATAGCTGCTGGATACAAATTCACTGGGCTCATCTAATTTTTGATAGCAACAGGTAGCTAATGTCAGCCACAAAATGTTGGCCAAGCTGTTATGGGCTTCAAAACAAGTTCTGTGAATAAATACCTTTCTTGTGAAAATACTTGGTGACTAGCTGTCGACCGCTTTTATTATTTTCCTCTTGCTGACGTTTTTTCTTTAGTTTCTGAGCTCCTGATTCATGAGCTGTAGAGGACATTTTCCTGTCAGTCTGTTGAAGCTGCAAGCTGCTGGTGCGCTGCTGTGCCGCCTAGTTATAGTTGAAAGTGGGGTTGCAAGATTAGTAACTGGCAGGCAAGGGGTGGTTTGGAGTGGGTCAGGCACGGCAGAATTTTTTTATTTAATGAACACCTGTACGTGCAATTTCCTGCAATATAGAGCACAGAACTGTCTCAAAATCCTATGGGATCCTAAAGGATTCCTATAGGGTTCCAAAAACGTATAGAGATTCCTATAGCATTTTTTGACTAGGGATGTTATCCTACACTTTAAGCTGTCTGATATCCCATTACCTGTAACTCTTGGGTCTCTTTCTCACTTCCTCTGCCTCCTCCCTGAGTCTGCACTGTCACCACATCATTCTACATTAAGGAGAGCAATACACTTATGAGTACACTGAACTGGTTTGAATACACAATCTTTATGCTACTCTGTAAAGAAAGGGAGAGAGGGGGGAATATATTATCCAAGTATTTGTGTCTTAATTTGTTATGTTATCCTACACTTTAAGCTGACTGATATTTCCATTACCTGTAACTCTTGTGTCTCGTTCTCTCCTTCTCTGCCTCCTCCTTGAGTCTGCACTGTCATCACCACATCATTATACACAGGAGAGCAATACACGTATGAATACACTGAACTGGGTTGAATACATGATTTTTTCTTTTTTCTGCCATGTTCTACCTGGTTGGCTGGCTACACACACACACACACACACACACACACACACACACACACACACACACACACAGTGTGCAGGTTACTTACAGTAGGAGATGGGCTTCTATCATATTATCTTCTATCATTCTATAATTCATTCTTCTTTTATTTTCATTTCAGGTAGTTGTACCTTAAGAGAATTGAAGGCTGGCATCTGTAAATGCAGATAGATATAAGTACTTTATTCTTATTTTATTATCATTATCTTCTTTCCAATGAAATGAAATCAGAAAATAAGTGGTATATGATGGAAAATATGAAAGTCAATGCTTGAAGGAAAATGGACTTCGGAAATCAGTTTTTTATTTACTGTTCTGTAAAAGTCTTGTCGAATGTAATGTTTTATGTTTTGTGTGGACCCCAGGAAGACTAGTTGTTGTCATGCAACAGCTAATGGGGATCCTAATAAACTCAAACTCTAATGGGCTTCGATCTACCAGGTAGCTAGCTAGTCAAACACACACACTGGTTGATATTACTAGCTAGCTAGCAAACGTCAGCTAACCGCTAGCTAACATAAAGAGTGACTTGTAATTCAATGCAGCGAAAATGAAGAGAAGGTGATGATTATAAATGTGTTTTATTGTATTGAGTGGTAGAAGTAAAGACATGTCTAACATATTCTTTGTTTGAACAACTTACTGAAAAGGTCTGCCACCAATGACAGACTGGTCGCGGTGATTTACACTCAGCCTACCTGCATCAGGACTGCTGTGTGTGGGAGGCAGTTGATCAAACCATTGTGAGCGAAATGCGAGGGGGGGGGGGGGGGGGGGGGGGGTCACAATCTTTGGAAACTTAAAAACTCGCTATTAAGTGTCTATAATCAGCACAAGTTATTTCATTGCGTATTATGAATTCGATTGAAATTACATACTTATGTTTACAGGGATATATTGGGGGGGGACATATCATATTTTTCATATGATCAAAAAGTGGGGGTGCAAAAGCACACGTTTGCTCCCCCAAGGTCAATTGTGGGGATGCACCCGCTCCGCTTGCTCCATTGCTCAGGCGCCCATACCATGCAATGAATGAAGGGAGGGGTGCTCATTCTGTCAAACAGAGTAACAAGCACCTGTTTGTTTCTTTTGTGACGTTTTTTTTTTTTTAATACAGGCAATTATACTTTTGAGTCATCTACATTAACTTACTTTAGGATAATAATAAAACCATATTAATAAAAATATAATAATAGTGTTCTCCCCCCCCCCAGTGCTGGGCCCTTGGAATCATCCTAACCTCCCCCCCCAGCTACGCCCCTGAGTACAAGTATCTCAAAGTCTTACTTGTACAGTACTTCAGTAAATGTAGTAATTTCACAACACTCAATGCACTATATTTACATTTTGATTTATTTATAATGTTACTTAAACCGCATAATGTTAATTGTGACTTTTGCAAAATTAACATTCACAAAAACAAATAAAACCCTTTTAAAATACACTGTTCCTTGAAGCAGACAGAGAACACCGACCAACCGGAACCCTCAGCCCCATGATTCGAGGGGACGACTTTGAATGCGGCATTGCAGAGCTACATTCACTTCCGTAAACAAGGGGTTCTCTTCCTGCTGTGAACGCACGCGCTTTCAGTGAACAGTCGGCCAGTACTTTCAAAACACTGTAATAACTCTATAATAATTACCGCTGTCACACACACAGGACTGCTAGCGGCTCCATTAGAGGAACATGTAGCATGTAACATGTGTGTTCTCCGGAGGGTTTAGCGTGAACACAGCTGACAAAGCAAAGCAACTTTTCCATGCTCGCGGAGAAACATGGAGATAGACCGGGACTTCCTGAACTCTCCTCCGGTGAAGACGGTCCGGTTCGGAGGCACTGTGGCGGACACTCTGGCGAAACACAGACAGGTGAGAGCTCCACCCTCCACTGCCCGCTGAGAGGAGCCACTAACACATGGGGCCTCATGTATAAAGCCTTGCGTGGGAAGGTTGCTTACGTAGGACAAAGCAAATAAATACGCACCTACACTTTCCGACTGTCACTACCCGATCTGCAGCGCGCATGTGCGAGATGATCCGCCATATTGGACAACTCCGGATGGCAACCCAAGTAGGACAACATTGACACAGTGGCTTTTGGCAAAGCTCAAAAGGAAAACGAGAGAGAGATGAGTTATTGTTATTACAACGTGACTTCACTATTATTGAACAACTCTTTTATTGGGTTCTTTTATTTGGGGTTAAGTACATTGTCAGAATAAGTGAGCAATGAATTTAACTTATGTTAGACAGCTATATGCCATACATTTTTGCACACATTCACAGTAAATATGTATTCAGTATATGATAGCTATCTAACAGAAGTTACATTCATTCCTCACTTATTCTGACAATGTACTTAACCCCAAATAAAAGAACCCCATGTCACAATTGTTTTCCTCCACTAAATACAAGAGATAGATAAGATAACTTTAACAAGATGCCTGTGTGCTTAGTACCAGGTTGTTATCATACCAGCAATGGGTCTTGCTCGTTCTTTCGCTTCCCGTCTGATGAAAGGACCAGGAGTGGCTGGATCAAGTTAGCTACCTAGCTAGTAGCAAGCACGTTAGTTAGCATTACAGCCTTGTCATTTTTATTAGCCTTAATATGAAGTAACATTAAGTAATCCAAAATGTTAAACGGTAAGAGTAGTAGTCATATTTCGTGAACCCTTTGAAGAGTACTGTCACACCGGTGTGATCATTCTATAATACACAATTTAAGCCCGGGGGAGAAATGCTAACACTACATTAGCATCGGCGATCTTTTGTACTTCGTGCTATCTGCACAAATGGCTGACATTAAACATTGCGTTTCACACAAACAAATGTGTTACTTCACAGTTTTACGACACTTTATTTTTTTTGACTGGCAAAATTATCTTTTAAATTGACAAACATCATATGTGTAATTCGTGGCACAATTCAAACGAGATCGAGAAATAATCTTTCTCTCTCCATTGACTTCAATACATAATTTTTCCGAAATAAGGTCCCATGGAGATCCACCGGAAAGGGGAGGGACTTCGCCACTCTATAGAGAGGCAAAGTTCCTCCTCCCCTTCTTTCTTTCAGAATGAGGCGAAAAGTATTAAAAGAGGTGAAAATCACTACAAGTCTGGGCATGTTGAGAGCTGTTCACAGGGCCGGCCCTAGACTTTTGGGGGCCCTAAGCGAGCTTTGGCCTGGGGGCCCCCCCCCCTCACTCTAGCGCGTTCTCACTACACACAACACGGAACCAACTTTTCTTATGATGTTAGTATACGCACACTTATTGTATAAATAAGCATGTAAACACCGTGGACCTAACCTCCTCTAGGGGGGTCCTCGCCTCCTCTAGGGGGGTCCGGGGGCATCCTCCCCCGGGAAGATTTTTTTTTAAATATTGAAGTTAAAAGCATCAATCTGGTGCACTTTGAGAGCAAAATTAAGAGATCTATGGATACAGTGCATGACAATAAGGATTTTGGGAGATGGCCCTGTGGGCCGTCTAAGCTAATTTACAGATGGCCCTGAGCACAATAGAGATTGCCCTGAAAATGCGCGCGGACAAAATGACGCACGAAGGGTTTGGGGGGCCTCCCCCTAGAAAATTTAGATTTTTGCAGGTCTTAGATGCTGTCTGGTGCATTCTCTAGACTGAATTATAAGATGAACCACCACAATATTATATTGTTCAATTTTATTCTTCATTTCACTTGTTTGTTTGTTTGTTGTTGTTTGTGTTTGCTCGCTTGCATGCCCTGCATAGCTATAATAAATACTTAATTTGTTGATCAAGACACTTTCCATCTGATGAAGGCAAATGCCTTCCCAGATGTAAAAAAGTAGAAAACATTACATTCAGTTATAACTGCCAAAACAAACATTATTTACACTATTATGGCCCCTGTTACAAATGTTTGTAATGCTATCTACTAGGGGTGTAACGGTTCACAAACATTTCGGTTCGGTACGTACCTCGGTTTTTTGGTCTCGGTTCGGTACGTTTTCGGTACAGCAGAATTTTTTTTCACAAAACAAAACATATATATATATTTTTATTATTATTATTAAACTGTGAATAATGTATTCACTCAAATACAAAATATAATAAAATAAACATTAAGGTGCAGCATTTCGATGAACTGAAATAATCTGTATTTGAACTTTACTGTACTAGTACTCACAAAACATAAACTATTAGTTTTGGGTTTTTAATTATTATTAAACTGTGAATATTCACTCAAATAAATACAAAATATAATAAAATGAACATTAAGGTGCAGCATTTCGATGAACTGAAATCATCTGTATTTGAACTGTAGCCTACTGTACTAGCACCTAAGCAGCCAGCTTGACATTATGACTTGCTTGTCATTGTATTTTCATGTTTTTTTAAATAAAAATGAACTTGTCCACATTGCTTGCTGAAAGGGCAGATCTGCTGGCACTAACAATGTCTCCTGATGTGGAGAAAACCCTCTCGCTAGGGACAGAGGTAGCAGATACAGCCAGGTAGCGCTTTGCTAACATGGCAACATAAGGATATTTGGTGTTTGTAATAGCTTTGGCTCGGTCTGATCTTTCTGCGAGTGGTGGAGGCTTAAATGCTAGCGGGAGTTGGGTTTGCACTTCAGTCTTTTTTCTTTTGGTACCGGTGATATTCACGTTCGGGTGATGCCTTTTCAAGAGTGTGCAAGTTTGATGTATTGCCAGCCGCGTAACCAATTTTAGTTGAACAATGCCGACAAACAGCTTTGGTTCGGTCCACCTGTCTTTGTCCGTCATCCTTGTACGTAACTGCGAAACCAAAATGTTCCCAAACCGGAGACTTCAATGATGCTGGAGGATTTTCGAGTTCAACTTTATCTGCGTTCGCCATTAATTTTTGACAGTTCCTCAAATTACTGACTACATTTGAACGCATCCCTCTGACCAGCTCTCATAGTATGCCTCTCATCCAATGAAATGACTTGCTCGCTCTATGACGCGTTGAACCCAATGTGAGCAAATTACTCTGAATGCTGCGACGCAGCACCTGAGATTACTTCCAAGAAGTTGTTCACGTTCTCAATTTTTTACGTTTAACGTTATATTCGTTCGGTACACTTCGGTACACACCTGTACCGAACCGAAGGGCCCGTACCGAATAATTTCGCTACGGTTACGTGTACCGTTACACCCCTACTATCTACTGTAAGTTGGTCGAACGAATGCCTCCTCATCCGGAAGCTGACCGAGCAGACCCGAGCAGTAGTCGAGAGGGGCCGAGCGCATCCTCGAAGCACACAAAATGGCGACGTCAGAGTTCCCGTTAGCCGGCAAATCTAAATCTCTTCGGTCAAAATGTCCGGTCAAAATAATTTCCCTTTAGCGCAATACCCAGGGCTCGAGCTTAAGGACGTCCCGTCGTCCCGGGGCCGGAAAAAATAGTGTCGGGGAGGATAAAAAATAATTTTGGGACGAGAGTTAAAATAAAAATACCCTGCTAACTACTACAAACGGCGATGAAAATGAAACCGACTGCACGTTTTGTGTAGCACATTAAACCTCCTTGTCAACATAAACACACACGCACAAAACATTTACCCGCAAAATACACACACATGTATAGCTACAGCTGTGCCGCTGGCTGTGCCCGCGAATTCCTGGTCCGCAAATTTGCGGGTCTAGCTATGTACTGAGTGTGTGTATTTCGCGGGTTGAGTGATGTACAATGGCATCCCGTGGAGAACCAGACCCTGGAGCACCGGCCTCTTTATTTACTTACTCCTCTTCATCCCCTATGGGTAATAAGGCTGAGATGAGAACCCTCCATCGTATTTAGTCCTTAGCAATATGCTGCGCCTCTCCCCATGTAGGGATGGGTACCGATCCCCGGTATTAAACGGGCCGGAATTATTAAAGACAGTGGTAACGTTAAGCTCCGACGTTATCGGACTTTTTATCGGTACTGGAGACATTTAAAAAATATGTCATATGTATTATTGCTACATACACATTATATCGCAGTTTTAGTTTCACCAACTCCGTTTCTAATATGCAATAAGACTACAACATGCGTCTATGATGTATTTTCGAGCTTTCCAATCCAGATGTGATCTCTCTCTCCCGTCTGTGTGCGAGGGGGCGGGGCCGTTTGTAAAGGTCTCCTGACTGACAGACTGTCATCCTGGTTAGTGGTTACTCTGGGTTCTGTCTTCAGGACAGTGTTGGATTTTTTTGTTAATTGGATGGGACTTGATTGGATTCAATATTAGAGTAATTTTCTCGTTTGTGTGTTTGTTTAAATATATTTGGTCTTTGTTTCTGTGATTGAATGATTTACTCAAATAAAAAGGTTGATGAATTATCATCTAATGATTTGTATAATGTTTTATTTATGTTAAAGGTCACTTTGGATGATTTTAACTAATGATAATGTAGAAAAACTAACATTTTAAATTCGGGACGGTCCACATTAATTTCGGGACAGCTTAGATTGTATTTCGGGACGGTTCCGGGAGGATGGGGGAAAAAGTTAGTCCAGAGCCCTGGCAATACCGCTTCAGTTGCGCCACTTATGTGACAGACAAGAAGAGTATGTGACAGACAAGAATAGTCAATTCTAATGTCTAACACTTATGCCCCGGCCACACAAGGACGAAGACGGCCGTTAGCGTTATTGTTTAGTGTCATATAGACCATTCGGCCACACGAGGACGACCGCATACGGCACTAAACGACTGAGGAAACGATAACGGGTCCCAAGGTGGATAGAACGGCATATGCAACGCTCTGGGGGGTCAAACGGCTCCGTGTGTGCGCCCTATACGATCATTTTCTGATAATGATTGCGCAATAGCCCTGCCTCTCCCCACCTCTGCTGCTCCCCTCCGCGTACCCCGCGCCATTGCTGATGTGTTCCGCCACCAACAACAACAACAATGGCGGATCGCAGAGTTGCTATCCTGCTCCGGACGCTACTGACCATGCTACAGTTCTTTGTGCAACATCTACAGCAGACTTACACATCCGGGGGGGATCTTACTCGCTGCTTTTGTGGATATGTACTGCAGCTTCAGCGATCATTTTCTGATAATGATTGCGCAATAGCCCCGCCTCTCCCCACCTCTGCTACTCACCCCCGCGTCAAAGTAAACTGCACACTGAATTCAGATTATTTATCTTTCTCTCGATATGGACATAAACACGAGTGAAGTCTAATCTGACAGGACGGAGACACCTCTCAAACTACCTAAACTAGTTATAAATATGTTTATTTTTACTGTCGGCCGGGTCACTCATTACTGGATCAGCTGCTGCATGAAACAGACACTGGCGCTGTCCGAAGAGAGGGAGGAAAAAGAGAGGCTCCGTGTATTTATATTATTATATTATATAGAGTCATTATTCATTTGTTTTAAAGCTCAATAAATAACAAAGAAGACCTTTGACCGGCACTTTTATAATTTTGTCGGAAGGTTTAAACTTTAATACACGTTGACTGGCGAAAAACTCTGCCCGGTTCCCTCGGCCCCCACCGCGGAGAATAAACAGAAGGGCAACCAAGACAACCATGCTTCTTCGCTGCTTTTGTGGAGGAAGTTACAGCGCCACGTACAGGCTCCTGCATATGTACTGCAGCTTCTCCAGCGGTTGAAGCTAAACGGAGCGGTCTCGTGTGGGCAGACACTATCCGGATAACTATTGCGTGTGGACGGAAGCTTGTTTGCGATTGCGTTAATCCTATGCGTTTAGCCATTTTCGTCCTCGTGTGGCCGGGGTCTTAATGTGGAGAAAGAGATTTCCTGTGTGGGTTGATTGTGCGTTGATCTGTTGGTAATGCCTCGGGGTTCCGGTGGGCATGTAAACAAATGCATAATGCTGCGCTATACTTTGTGGCCTCACCCGGTTGCATAGCGACACTTATTGTTTAGGTGTCTTTTAATAAGCAGGTATCATATCATTAGCTAGAACTAGCTGGATCTGATCGATATGGACATAAACGCGAGTGAAGTCTAATCTGACGGGAGAGAGAGATCAGCTGCTGCTGACGAGTCGACACGCAGCTCTGCATGATCACATGCAGCGGTGAGCGGAACAAAACACACACTTCAGTTAGAATATCACACGTAGCTATTTTAATGACCTCTCAAACTACCTCTCGTTATAGATATGTTTAGTTTTACTGTCGGGTCACTCATTACTGGATCCGCCAGCTGCATGATACTGGCATAATAGATTGCCCGATCGGGCAACCAGCAGGTGAGGCTTCATTGCCCGAGCTAAATACTAGATGGCCCCGGGCCATCGGGCAGTCGTTAATGTCGAGCCCTGGGATACATCTCTCAACACCCATATGAAACAGAACTGTAAACAGATTTTTCTTTATGGATATTTTACAAATCACTCCCCTTTTTAAATTGTATTCTTGTTTTGTCATATAGTATTTCATAACTGTTTTTCATTTATTCTCTGGCTGTCCATCTCATAATGTTCACATAGAAACTAGCTGTCAATAGGAATATGATTCAGAAGAATTATAATTTAATGCAAAAATCTGTCACAAAAAGAGGTTGCACATGGGGCTCATTCACTCGCGCTTCCACAAACAACAACCAACATAATTATTACATTCAAATGAAGTACATTATTCAAGTTTACATTAACTTTGGATAATAACACAGGAGAAATGAGCGGGAGTGCTCTCTTTTCCGCTCTCCCTCTCTCTCCCTCCTGACAGCCTGTCAGTATCCGTCTCATGCTCACTGATTCAGTAATGAGTGACCCGACAGTGAAGAATACATATATTTATAACTAGTTTAGCTTGTTCCAGAGGTAGATAAAATAGCTAATGGCACATTTCCACTGCAGCGGGGTAGCCCAGTTTAAGCGTCCTCACTCAGGCCTCGGGCTGCCTCGCTTGCCGTCCGAAGCCGTGGCGCATTACCATTACAGTTTAGGACCTGGGGTAGCAACGCAGTGTAGGCGGGACGATCGGCTTTGTTTTTGTTCACATTTCGAGTTGTTCCGTCGAGCTCCCGCTGGATTTGATCATCCCCAATGAGATGTAGGAATGTCGTCACCTCCTCGGTCGACCACGGTGTGCTTTTCTTTGACGTTGCCATTTTTGTAGCTCCTCCGTTTACAAAAATGCTGTTTATAAAAATGCTGCAAGCTTGCTTCTAGATATATATGCGACGCCAGGGATGATCTCGCGCGCGATCTTTTCTTTCTCTCTGACCAATCAGCAGTCGAGAGTGTTGACGTCACTAGTTCAGCCCTGGCCTGATAGAACCACGATTTTATGGGGCCGGAAAAAGTACCCGCTAGCCGGTGCTACGCTATATGGAAAGGCCACCAAAAACTGGCCTGGCCGCTTGAGGACGATTTAAGGACGCTTAAACGGGGCTACCCGCTGCAGTGGAAATGCATGGGCAGACCTCACATGGAGGGGCAAAGTATTCCAGAGCCTAGGGCCAGCCGCTGCAAAGGCTCGGTGCCCTCGGGTTTTGAGCCTGGTCTTAGGCACTACCAGCAGCAGCTGGTCAGCAGACCTTAGGGCTCTGCCTGGGGTATAGCGATGGAGGAGTTCGGCTATATAGGCAGGAGCCAGCCCATTTAGGGCTTTAAAGGTCACATGACATGCTTTCCGGTTAGTACCCGTCCCCTTGTGTGTTATGAAGGTTTTTATGCATGTAAACGGTCTGCAGAGTCAAAACCCTCAAAGTACACCCTGTAGCGAGTAAAACTCTAATACAGAAAATACCTCCCCAAAACGCCTCGTTGGTGAAACGTCACTGTCCATTTGATTCTTCCGGGTACATCATGATGTCATGTCGTCCCCGGAACGAAATGGACCAATCCGTGGAGCCGTTACGTTAAGCCCCCGCTGATTGGTCCAAATTGACCAATCCACGGACTTCCTCACACACTCAGTGCATGCAGCTCTGCTGATCTCTCCTCCCTGGCTGCAGGCTGATAACAGACAGTTGGGATCGTGGCGAAATTCTCACAGCAGACCCATTCTCTCTGCAGACCCATTCTCTCTGCAGACCCATTCTCTCTACAGACCCATTCTCTCTGCAGACCCATTCTCTCTGCAGACCCATTCTCTCTGCAGACCCATTCTCTCTGCAGACCCATTCTCTCTACAGACCCATTCTCTCTGCAGACCCATTCTCTCTACAGACCCATTCTCTCTGCAGACCCATTCTCTCTACAGACCCATTCTCTCTGCAGACCCGTTCTCTCTGCAGACCCATTCTCTCTGCAGACCCATTCTCTCTGCAGACCCATTCTCTCTGCAGACCCATTCTCTCTGCAGACCCATTCTCTCTGCAGACCCATTCTCACAGCGTTTATCAACCTTTTTCTTACTCAATATCAAGCCACACTTATTGTTTTTACTTCGGCTGTGACTTTGTGTGTGCTCAGGGTGAGTTTGGCTGTGTTTCGCTGTGTATCGCTAAACAAGGAAATCACACCTCCACGGAGCTCAACGCGATTCACAACGTCCTGACCAATCGGAGCACACTGGGCTCACAGGGAGGGGGGGCAAGAGCTGCAACGAGCCGTTTAGTGGAGAGAGTGAATACACGTAGTTTACAGAGATGCTGTTTGAGAAACCAATGTGAGTTTGGAAAATTGCACAGTATAAATCTATTCTAGTAGACCTCAACAATGGCATTATGATCAGTGGAAATGGCCATGACACCTCTCCTTTAAAAATAAATAAAAGGAGTTTAAAATCTATTCTGAACCGAACTGGAAGCCAGTGCAATGAATCCAGAATTGGGGTGATGTGGTCACGCTTTTTATGGCCAGTGAGAAGACGTGCAGCTGCATTCTGAACTAGCTGCAGGCGTTTAATTGAGGCCTGATCCATACCCACATACAGAGCATTGCAGTAATCCAGTCTCGAGGTAACAAAGGCGTTAATAACCCTTGCCTTGTGTTGAAAGGTGCTGTATTTCCTTTAAAGCCACGCTGTTTCTCTTCTCTTTAAGGGAGACTCTGGGGACTATGAGCTGCTGAAACATCAGCTGTCGGACCCTGAGATAAAGGTGTGTGTTGCCTTGTGTTGAAAAGTGCTATATAAATAAACTTGCCTTGCCGTGTGTGTGTGTATCAGTGTGTTGATCAGTGGCTCTCTCCTCTCACAGGATGCTCAGATCATCAAGTGGCTGCAGGAGTTTCGGAGCTGTGTGACCCAGCTGAATAAGGACCATGAACAGCTGATCTACCCTCTCCTGGTGAGTGTGGAAAGAGAGAGGAAGCTTATTGTAGCTCACTACTCAGTGGCAAGAAAAAGTGAACCCTTTGGAATATCCTTGTTTTATGCATAAATTGGTCAATGAATGTGATCGGATATTCATCAAGTCACAATTATAGACAAACACAATCCATTTAAACAACTTATTTACAAAGTATTGTATTGTTCTTGTCCCTAACTGTCCCTTTTAAGAGCTGTTATCATAAGTCAGCTAATCAATTATTGATAAGATAAACCTATATTGATCAACATAAAGGGAAATGAAGGTGTGAAAGCAGCAGCAGCAGTAATAGAACAGGAGAAGACTGTTAAACGTTCAAATAATGATAAAAAGGATAAGAACTATGTAAATAACAATATATATATATATATATATATTAGGGCTGTCAAGTTAACGCGTTAATACAATTTTTTTTAGCGCCACTAATTATTTTAACGCGATTAACGCATGTGTATTTTTTTTCCTCGGCCGCCCCGTAGTTTCAGAGCGCATCGAGTTTAAAATACCATCTACAAGCTGATGCTGACAGCCCCGCTCCTGCTGCCTGCTTGTGGCAGACCACACTTCCACGCTCACCGGCAGGCACCGACTGGCCATCGGGAGGACTGGGAGGGTGTGTGTATGTGTGGCCCGAGCGAGCGAGAGAGAGACCTTACGTGTATTGTTGTTGTTAGCATCTGGTGCTAGCTAGTTGCGCTAACGGATATAAGGAGCTGTTTCAATGAAAACAGAGGAGCGACATTTCGCCGACAACTGCGCCGAGCACTTGACTTTATGCAGGAAGCCAGACAGTGGGACATTGTACGAGAAGTCAGCACACTCAGCACGGGTAGTGCGCAACATGATTGCAGCGTCCAGGCAGCTCCCGTTCGAGCATATGCCTTGAGTTGCACATAGCTCCAACGATCCATCACACACACACACACACACACACACACACGCACACGCACACGCACACACACACACACCACACACACACACACACACACACACACACACACACACACACACACACACACACACTTTGTATTGTATGAGAGAGGTTCCAGGTTGTTGTGTTTAATATTCATGAGAATATTTGTCATTGTTCAAATGATAATAAACATTAGCATAAAGCATATTTGTCCACTCATATGTTGATAAGAGTATTAAAAACTTGAAAAATATTCCTCTAAGGTACATTTAGAACAGATAAAAAATGTGCGATTAATTTGCGATTAATCGCGATTAACTATTTTAATCGACTGACAGCCCTAATATATATATATATATAAATTAACAACAATATAATTATGTCAAACTGTTTACACAGTGTGAAGACATTGTTAAATGATTGTAGGGGTCAGTTAGTTGTGCAGCCTAATGGCTACATGCACAAAGGAGTGGGTTGGATGTAAAAATGAATGAGCACCAATTTTGACTTTTGATTTATCGCCTTGTGTTTCCAGAGGCTCCCCTGGGTGGGCCGCAGCCAGGCAGTGGTGGAGGAGTACATGGCCTTCCTCAGTAACCTGGTGTCGGCTCAGACTGTGTACCTGTGTGCCTGCCTCAAGATGGTGGTCTCACACTTCAGCCCCAGTAAGTCCTTCTCACTGCTTATCAAAAATCAAAATATTGATAGAATACATAAATGGGATTCAAGCTTTCACTCTGTCAAAGTAGTGACATCATGTTGGTTTTCTCCTGGTCTGGTCCTCATGTTATGTTTGCAGTGTTTACATTTCTGTTTGAAAGCAGAGTGCAGACTTGCTGTGTCCTGTATGTCCTGTAAACCAGCTTCAGTGGAGATGTAACATGTGTTCTTGTTTCCAGAGAGAGTGACCATCTGTGAAGGCGGGGTGGATATCTCTGACTCAGACGATGATGATGAAAGTAAGTGTCCTCCTTATTTTTCCACGTGGAATGTCAATACCTAAATGTTAGCATCAAAAACGTACTATGAGAATGTGAGTATGTTATAATATAACAAACTCACATTCTCAGAGATATCGTATATCTCAGAGGGCTGATTGTTTGTACATTCAAACCTCTGTTCATTATATTCACATTGAAAGCTCCTTGTATTGCTTAAACCAGATAGTATATTAGCTGTGTAGGATGTGTAGGACTGGTGCATTGTTCAGTCAACATTTATTATGACATTTCAAAATAATTTACAAACATGTTTTTATTATACCAAATAATCTGCGTCAATAGGTATTTGTTGCTGTTTAGACTTTTATTTATTTTTTCATTGAGGCAAACAACTCTTTGCTCTACTGCTAACTGCAGTATACTACTGCTACTGCTTATATTCTTAAAGAAAGATGAACAAAATCCAACTCATTTGATCCATCACACAAATTGAGGATTTTTTTTCGGTTGATTACTTAAAAAACGATACAGTAATCACATATTCACATAGCGATCTAAAGCAGTCCTCATCTGTTCATCATCGCCCTCACACCAACGGCTGTGAAGGTAAAACAGAAGACATCTGGTCGGATCTCAACATCTGGCCGAGGCGTGTGATGGTCTTATTGCTGCTTGAAAGTTTCGACAGGTTGTGCGGGCATGATGAGTATGAATATGGTAACTCCAGATGATGGACTGATGTTAAACGGACCGTCTCCTCTGCTGCTGTGATTTGTTCAGACCTCCCCAGGAACTTTGATCAGTGTCACCAGGCGCTGCAGCTCATCACCAGATACGTTCCATCGTAAGTCACTCATGATTCTGTTTTCTCCTCCTGTCACTCGTTTACCCACCTGAACTAAAGATTGGGCTTTGGTGTGTGCAGGAACCATAATGAACCAGCTCTGAACTTCCCATAACAAATGTTATCTAAAACCAGCCAGATGACTTATCACTGCATTGTTTCAACATTTCAAAAATGAAACATATTAAACATATGCGTGCTGGTCCTGGCTGAAGGTGAAAGATGCACATTTTACAGTCCGTCTAGGAATATGTGATTCCTATAAGGATTTATATGAATACTTTTCTAGGCGCCGAACACTTGCATTGAATCTGTGGTTTATCCATGCTTCAACGTTCTGCTCTGGAAAAATGAAAACTAACATCTAAAGAAAAGTTTGGACTTATCTTGAACTGGAGTATGAGCAGACTGGTTCCATATCCACCCTGATAGGCAACATGTGATGTGAATAAGTCCCAGGATGTTATCTTCCCACTATCTTGACCTTAAGGAAGCCAGGAGGGACAGTGAAATGTAACTCTTTTTCGATTGAGAGAAGACGGGGAGACACAGCTAGAGGACCGTAGGCAGGATCTATTCAAATGATCTAGCTTAGCATACACTACCAGTCAAACGTGTGGACACACCTTATCAATCAAAGGTTTTTATTTATTTGAATAAAAATCATATTCTGGATTTTTTTTTTTACACTTTTTTTGTTAACTAGATCATTCCATATGTGTTCTTTCATAGTTATGATGTCTTCAGTATTAATCTACAAAGTAGAACACAATTAAAATAAACAAAAAACATTGAATGAGGCGAAGCCTGCGAGCTAGTTCAGGCAGTCAACTCGAGCACTTATGCTGCATTCATACATAACGCCCCCTTGCCACTCTACAACCAACCAAACAGAGTCTCCTTAATATGCCGCTCTATTTAACCTGCAGATCTCTCTCCATGCATTGCTGCTGCTATTGCTGCAGCTACCTCTACGTCGCTGCTGCTCGCTGCCCCACCACCACCCCAGCTTCCACCCCAGCTTCCACCCCAGCTTCCACCCCAGCTTCCACCTGTAGGCTCGGGGGTTAGTTATTTGATCATCACTCATCGTGCTATGTATATCTATGGAGTGATGAGGCCCGAGCCTAGTCGCCAAACTTAACTATATGCTGCTTCTAATAAACATGTTAAAGAAACACGTGAGTTGTCTGACTGAACTGAGAAGGTGTGTCCAAACCTTTGACTGGTACTGTATATAATGAAATCATGTATTACTATGCATGGTCGAGGCTTCACAACAACTCCTGTCCTGCCCGGGGGGTCTGATTTCTAATGTGAAGGTGTGTCCTCTGCTCTCAGCACCAGCCGCTTCCTGATGCCCATCCTGCAGGAGAACTTCCCCTTCGTGCAGAAATCCTCCAGAACTCTGGTGAGTCTGCACACAGAGCAGAAACAAGAAAGTCATTATACAATTTATATTTAAATACATTTATAAAGAGCCATTCAAAAGCCAAATATATACAAATTATAATAAAATAATACAGGTTTAAGGTATTAAGAGTGCAGTGTAAGATATGAATAGATATTTGATTTAATAAAAAGCAACAGCAAAGTGTCTGGATTAAAGAGGTGAGAGACCTGCAGGATTCTGGTAGATTGTTCCAGATGTTTGGAGCATAATAACTGAACGCTGCTTCTCCATGTTTAGTTCCGACTCTGGGGCAGAAAGCAGATGCTTCATAATGTAGCAGGAGATCAGAATAAATCATTCAGTGCTTTCAAAACGTGGTCCTATAAAACATGAAATGTATTGTAATTTGAAAAAGCACCATATAGTGTGATGTGCGTCCTGAACGCAGCAGTGCTTTGTGGGTGACCGTATGTTGCTCTGCAGGAGTGTTACGTCCACAACCTCCTGAGGCTCAGCATGTACATCCCCGCACTGCGCAGAGACGTGCTGGAGCTGATCATCGGGAAGATGCTCAAACTGGATGTAAGTATTTCAAGTCATCCGAAGGGCTTCACAGGGTCTCACGTTCTACACTGTAGCTCAGTAGAGCAGTCTGTGAAGTCTCCTAGATTGTTTGTGTGTGTTACGGTGTGTGTTTCAGGTGAGTGCATCGCGGTCAGACATCGAGGAGGCAGAAGAGAACACAGTGCAGAGTCAGAGAGCAGAGGACAGGGCAGAGGAAGGCCTCTTTGAAATGGTAATGTGGTCCCTTTGGGTAGATTGTAGATAAATAATATTATACATTTAAAAAGTGGAAAGACTTGCTGGCAGGAAGCATTCCACAACAAGCAGGAAATGATGATATTCTACAATATACTTTACTGAGCCTCAGCCACATCATAAACTCTATGCACTTGAATGCACTACACAATGGAAGCAATATGTTCTGACAGCGTGAGCCCTGCACCACCCACACAACCTAACCTCTTATATCTGCACAGCTTTACACTTTCATACCAATACTTCACATATTCTATTTGATTCTGTTTTCTTTCAAAAAAACATTTTGTGATATTAAACGGCACATTGTTGTTGCTATGTCTATATTACATGTATGTCATCTTGTGGTCCTTTTCTTACAGTTATCATCTTTAACTGTTTATGTATGCACAATTGACACCAGGCCAAGTTCCTCGTGTGTAAGCATTTAACATTTGTATGTCTGTCAGGATGAGGACATGTCAGCAGATGCCCCCCCCAGGCCCTCAGTGATGGCCCACCCAGTGGCTGACAGGCTGGACACCCTCATGGCTGTCCTTTTGGCATACATCAAGGATGTGTGCCATGTGAATGGTAACGGAATCACACAGATCCATAACATTTTAAAGATGTACTCTGTGTGTTGTTGTGAGGGTTTGTGTGAGTAAGGTGTGTCTCTGCCCCCCCCAGGCTCTTTTCACGCGGACCGGACTAAGGATCTGTACAGAGATGTGTTGAGTGTGTTTGACAAGCTGATCCTGCCCACACATGCTTCCTGTCATGTGCAGTTCATACTCTTCTACCTCTGCAGCTTCAGAGTGGTCAGTAGTGGTGATGGTGCTCAGAAGCTGCTCTAGTAGAGAACTTACTTCATAAAGCACGTACACATGATGTCATTTTGAATTCATTTGCAAAAAGTCATTAAAGGCTTCTCATTTCTCTAACTCCCCTCCTCGACTCCTACCCCAGATACTTAGTCCCGTCCACAGGAGATGCGAGCGGAGGAGCCGAGGAGGGGAACCGAGGAGAGAGGAGGGGAACCGAGGAGAGAGGAGGGGGAGCAGCAGGCGGTTAGAGAAATGAGAACTCCTCTCCTCTGAGCGGTCATTTTAAAGAGACGTCCATTAATGATGACAGGAGGCACAGCAGCCGAAATGGGGAATTTAAATTACGGGCCAAAAGTTGTATTTAAGTATTAAAAGTAAGCATAGGACACCAAACCAACTGAGACCCGTCTGTCCGCTGCATCTACGCACTGTACAACACACACACACTGTACCACACACACACTGTACCATACACACACACACTGTACCACACACACACCTACACACTGTAACACACACACTGTACCACACACACACCTACACACTGTACCACACACACACCTACACACTGTACCACACACACACCTACACACCATTTCCGGGTCACTACCGGAGGTCCGAGGAGTCGAGGAGGGGAAATTAGAGTATTGAGAAACCTTCAATGTGATTTTGGGCATACAAAATGACTCGCTGTATATTACACTTACCCACAAGGCCTCATTTTGAGTTGCTTTTTGTTTATTTTGATAATAAATGTTTGAATGTTTTTCCATATGATATGAGTTCTATATGTTGTGTATTTGTGTGTCCAGGCGCTGGCGGAGGCCTTCCTGGAGCACGTGTGGAAGGTGCTGCAGAGCCCCTCCCAGCCCGCCGTGCTGCGCCAGGCTGCGGCTGGGTACCTGGGCAGCTTCCTGGCCCGGGCCAAGTTCATCCCTGTGCTGTGAGTCACTCTGCGGGGACACTGAGCCTGAGTGAGCCCTGTACCCCTCTGTGATGATGTTAATCCTGCTGTTATTATGCCCCCCCCCCCCCCCCGCAGCACTGTGCGGGCCTGTCTGGACCTGCTCCTCTCGTGGATCCATCGCTACATCGACAGCCAGGACAACAGCGGCCGAGCGGCCTGCTGCGACATCAGCCTGCACGGACCCTTCTACTCCGCCTGCCAGGCCGCCTTCTACACCCTCATCTTCAGACACAGAGCCATGCTGGAGGGCAACATGAAGAAAGGTACCCTCTGATCTGTGACAGCCTGTTACGTCCCCACTAAGGTCTAGGGGACCTGGAGACAATAACACACAACAACCAATACAAATGAGGGAGTCAGCGTAAAGGTTAACAAAAAGGTTTATTCCTTGTATACCAAAGAACTGAACAGAAATACTCTTTGTGTGAGGAGGAGGAGGAGACAAAGGATACTGTGCCAAACAAAAGAAACAAGCATAACAAAACCAGGCCTATCTCTACATCTATCCTCTGAAACCAAAACTCCAACAAAAACCCTCACTAACTAAACTACTCAGAACTGGACAAAGCAGAATACAGGGGTGGCAACAATCCGCTAACCTAGTGTGTCTTAACATTAGTTATCTACGTGATGAGAAATGTACAGGGTACCCCAGACTTACCTAACTCCTCCACCTCTCAACACACACACTTTCACAAAGGTCAGAACAAACAAAGTAGTATGAGTTTCTAACAAGGCAGTCAAATTCTGGCTCCTCAGTCAGCTACTGGCCCAGGGTGAGAGAGAGGGAGAAGGCTTCCTGGGTGCCTCCTTTATGGTCGGCCCTGGCTGCTGATAGGCCAGCTGAGGGTGAGAGGATCCAATCAGCCGTCAGACTCAGGTGCACAGGCAGGTACTGATCAGCTGCTGATTAGCTGTAGAGAAGACAGGAGGTTCATCCCAATAGCCCTCCTCGACTCCTCTCTTCCCCTCCTCCGGGACTTGACCCGGAAATCGATCAAGACACGCCATTTTGAAGGACGTCTCAATACTTGAAATGCACACGGAGGAGTCGAGGAGGGGTGCGGGAGGAGAGGTGCGGGAGGAGGGGTGCGGGAGGAGACGAAAGGGAGGATACACGAGAGCAGACTACGAGGAAGTGTTTTCACTACTCGCGTGTATAAAAGCGCCGCCCCCACCTTCACAGCTGGTCCATTTCAACAGAGGAAAACCAACAACTGGAAGATGAGTGGAAAAGTGCTCACAGCTCCGTGGGAATTATTATGTGCAATTCATTTCTTAAGGTTATACTAACAATTTAAGTCATGTTTAATGATCTTTAACGTCACTAAAACATAGCTATTAAGAAAGCTATTTCATAAATGGGTAGATCTTGATAAATAACAATTATTTTATAGTTTTGTGTGAAGATATTCAGGAGTTAAATTATTTAAAATGCACAGTCCTGAATGTGGGTTTGTGGGGATCTACAGGACACACATTTTCAGAGTAAAGGCTTTTACCTTAAAGGTGGGGTAGGTCATTTTGGAGAAACCAACTCGAGTGCGCTAGAACTTGAAAATACACAGCCGGAGAAAATCTGCCACTTCCTTACAGAGCCCCTCCTCCAACACACACGAACGCGCACATGACCAATGAGGGCACGAGATAAGTTTCTGCACAGATGGAAGGCTGACAGGCAGGTAGGCCATCCAGTTACTTTAGCCGGCTCAGATGATTGGTCGTGCTTTTTACAGCGCCACGGCTTCCACAAATGAGATATTTAATGGATTTTTTGTCAAAACTTCAGATATTCATTGCTATCGGGATGTTAAGAGCATTCCATGGAATATAACAACAAGTGTATCTCGAGCCGGTTTCTCAAACTTACCTACCCCACCTTTAATATTATTATATTTTTATTTAAATGTAGGCTACATTTTACACCAAAACGGAACACAAAAGCAGGACCAACCATCATACATTGCATTCCTTGACTAACAAGAGAAAGATTCATTCAATTAAATAAATATTTAACAACAAATGGGCCGGTTCTAATGGGTTCTTCAGTTAAGCCCGATGAGAGGGGATACAGCTGTGCACGTCATCATTAACAGACGTCGTTTAAAAGTGACGTTTGAGTGAACGAGGACATCCCAATTAATACCTGAGGACTCCTCTGTCCTCGCGTCACCTCCTCGTGTCTCTCGCTCGCATCTTACGGAGGCGGAGCTAAGACGCAAGGAAGGGAGGCGAGTGAGGGAAAGGAGGAGGTGAAATATTCAATTGAGACGAGCCTAGGGAGCAGAGAGAAAAACAGGAGGGAAGGAGAACCACACAAGTACAGTCTGCCTGGCACGTAACACACCCTCTGCACCACCTGTTGCTCAACAGGACCACGTCTCAATGTTTCACACAGCTATGACATCACTGTTGCTTTTTAAGATGTGACTAACCACAAACATACTTGCAATCGGCTATTCAAAAATGATCGTCCTGAAAAGCCAGTCAAGACCAGGATACTAGGATTAATTAATTAAGTCATGACAATGTGTCAAATATGTTTTAGCAAGCCATTTCATTTAGCATTGTACAGAATATCAGGACATCACAATGATGTTTTCAGAAAGCTAACTTTTCCAACTAACCACCGGAAACTGGAAAACATGGCAGTAAGTCCTCATCAAATAATCGTGTGTGTGTGTGTGTGTGTGTGTGTGTGTCAGGCCTGGAGTACCTGCAGGGTCTGAACCTGGAGCGTGTGGTGATGAGTCAGCTGAACCCTCTGAAGGTGTGTCTGCCTGCAGTCAGCAGCATGTTCGCAGCCATCACCAGGTACACACTAACCCCTGCTGCTGAGTATCACTACGAGCGCTGGATTTATTTTGATGTTCTCATACACAGTATGTTACGTGCAGTGGTGAAAGAAGCACCACCTAACCACCAAATATAACTGCTGTTTTAATAAAGCAACATGCTGCTTTAAGATGAATTAAGATCTCTGGCAAAGGTGAGATTTATAATTGTTCACTATGTTTTAATGATGCACAACTTTAGTTGTCTACGCAATAATCCTATTTTCTATTTCTCTACCAAAGAGGTGGAACCACTGGTTGAATCTCTAAATGTGTTTTGTGTCATATGTTTTCTTTCAATGTAAATAGAACTAGTCACTCTGTCAAAAATAATGTAGTAGAATAAAAAGTACAATATTCCCTTTTTTAATGATCCAAGCATCGTGGAAATACTCAATATTTACATTAGAGAGAGTTGAATAAACCAACATGTCCCCCCAGTCAACAGGGGAAAGTCTGTAATTGTTGTCTTCCTGTGGTGCTATATGGCCTGCTGGGAGCAGAGCTCTCTTTGACTGGTTATCGAATGTTGATTATTCTCTGAGGAGTAGTTAAATATTGAGGAGTCAGATAGAGAGGCTCAGAGTTGGGCAGGAGCTTCGTCAATCCTTCCAATAATCTCCAGTGACATCAGCTGGAGCTCTCCAGTGTCTCCTCGTGTTCCGGTCCTTGCTCCAGAGGTTTCATGCCACTTCTCTTGCAGGAAGTACCAGGTGGTGTTCTGCTACACCATCATAGAGAGGAACAACCGCCACGTGCTGCCGGTGGTGCGCAGCTCTGCGGGGGGGGACAGCGTGGGCACCAACACCAACCCTCTGGACAGCTTCTTCCCCTTCGACCCCTACCTGCTCCACAGGTACGTCTTATTCTGTGTCCTCTGATGGGATACTTCCTCACAGGATTACTGTTATTACACCTCTGATATCTGCAGGAGTCCGTGACAGGCCCTTTAACACAAACACAAATAGGATGAAAACATGTGTGTGTGTGTGTGTGTGTGTGTGTGTGTGTGTGTGTGTGTGTGTGTGTGTGTGTGTGTGTGTGTGTGTGTGTGTGTGTGTGTGTGTGTGTGTGTGTGTGTGTGTGTGTGTGGTGTGTGTGTGTGTGTGTGTGTGGTGTGTGTGTGTGTGTGTGTGTGTGTGTGTGTGTGTGTGTGTGTGGTGTGTGTGTGTGTGTGTGTGTGTGTGTGTGGTGTGTGTGTGTGTGTGTGTGTGTGTGTGTGTGTGTGTGTGTGTGTGTGTGTGTGTGTGTGTGTGTGTGTGTGTGTGTGTGTGTGTGTGTGTGTGTGTGTGTGTGTAGGTCCAGTCAGCTGATTGAGCCTCTGTACCAGGTGTGGGAGGAGCTACCAGACACAGAGCAGCCCCCCCCCCACAACAGGACAACAGGTGAGATGATAGGCTGAGCACTGGTCAAGGAATCCTCTAATGCACTGCTGTCATGTTGGGGAACTGTCGTAGAGCTGCAGCCAACAATAACACAACTAAACTTTGATATTAGGCAGAGAAAGTATTTGAATTAATACATTTTCGGTTGGTTTGCAAGGATTTGTGTAAAACTGGTTTCCATTTTAGGTATAATTAAGCATATACATATGAAAATACACAATGAAATGTCTATTAATGGGTATAAAATGCATTTTATTTAGCTGAATGCATATTGATCTTATCTTCAGATGTTGAGGCTCATGTGTGTGAGTGTTGCTTCATTGTGTGTGTGTGTCAGTGCTCCAAGGAGGACGAGGACGACTTCCTGTCCGGGGAGACGCCGAAGACAGAGGGTATTGTGGGAATGACACCCAGCTCGTACGAGTCGAGCCTCCGCAGCCCCAGCAGCCTGGGCTCCCCCCCCCATCGCCTTCCAGAGACACTGACCACACACATCACATTTAAGTTAGGACTCAAACACACACTGAGGAACACGAGCCGGTGAAGAGATGACACTGATCTCTGCCCTCACACAGCACTCTTCCTAGAAAGCTTCAGTGACTTTCAGGAAGTGTAGACCTGCTCAGTCTAACTTGACATATTTTCACAAATTGATTAACGGCAGATCATGCAAATCAATAACTCCAATGACAGCAACAGAATCAGTGAGAGGCTAAATAAAGATTTATTTAAGTGTATACCTTTTTATTTGACACTTTAAGAAATGGACAAAATGGCTGTTTGTATGGTATTTTAAGTTTAATTAAACACTCCACAGACTGTTGTCGAGCCTTCCTCACTTTTTGTCTGGTTCTGTACGGAAAAAAAGTTCAAACTGTTTATTGTGTGGGCAGCACATTTTGGTATGAGGCAATCACTTTATTTATGAAATCATGATGCCTGCTGCAGACCACACTCCCAAAAACATAACTGATCCCAGACAAGAAGCTCAGTCTGCATATATAAAGAGCGCTGAGCTCAGCACCAGGAGTCGCCTGGTTTGGTGAGTGTGAGAGAAGAAGAAACGGCAACCTGTCATCAGAACAGCCTCATGAGAGTCCCATGCATCACACAGCTGACCTCATAGCAGCGGAGATGCATGAAGGTAGATATGGTGCAAAATGCGAGAGCGTGTAAAACCTGATGTGAGCACTTGCAGAAAAACAATCTGAGCTTGTGTGCATACAGTTACACTTGTATAAAATATCCACGTAACTGTGAACTAAATTTGAAGTCACAGAAGAAGAAAAAAAGGTTTGTAGCTTGAAGAAAAAAAATGAACTTAGTGATGAAATGTTCACTTGCAGAAAAGTATATATTCCATTACAGCTGCAACTTGGTTATTACAACCTCTCAAATCAGTCACTACAACTTGACGAATCTGCTCTGTGGCAGTATACATCGACGAATCTGCGGCCTTGACTTTTGCTACACTTCTTGCAATGAATGTGTTGCTAAAGTAATTTTCACCTGTAGATGTGGGGGGAGGGGAGGGGGGGGCGGAGAAGGGGCGGAGCTATCAGAACGACGAGGCGCAAGCTCGGGTCAGTCACACAGCCATGTCAGGTCGAACCGGATGACTGCAGGGCCCTGCATGTTGCCCCTTTCACACCAACGCGGTTCCAGGGCCGGTTCGGAGCTTGAGCCTGATAAGCACCGGTTTTTCCTGTTCACGCCGCAGCGGAGTAAGAACCGGTTTTCCCGAAAACCGGTTCTTATTCTTACCAAGCTCGAAAAAAGCGTCAGTCTAGACTAGGCAAGAACCGCATACGTCACGCTTACGTCGGAGGGGGGCGAGATTAACCTGAACTAACAGTTTATGGCGAGTATGGCAAATAAAAGTTGTAACAAGCAGTAGCGCTGAGCAAAGTGACTAGAACGCAACCACACACTTTATAAAGTCAGGCAACACTAACCAGGCTTCTAGTGATTCTGTTTATTTGTGCCTTACTTTGACCATCCGTTCGCTGTTATTGATCTTTGTGGAGAGAGGCAGACGTGTTGTTTTGTATTATAACAGCTATCGGATGGAATCAATACATGGGCTGCACAGGTTGTCGTGTCCGACTATCACAAGTAGAATCATAATGAAAAATACGCCGGTAAAATGTGCCTGTAGAAAACGGCTTAGGCCTATGCCACAAGTTAAAGCAACAAGTAGCCTAGTCCAGTGGTTCTCAACTGGTCAGGCATCGGGAACCACATTTTTAACCACTGAAATCTATTCAACTACAAATCGTGCTGTAATATACGCTTAATTAAAGTGAAGTACAGTGCATATATCCCTTCACAGAACTAAAGAATGCTTTTAAATAAGGTTTAAAGAGATGATGGAATCAAAGCTGAACTGTATAACATAAAAAGGAACGCGTGCTGAAAACCCACCCCAGAAGGGGGGTATGGGGGGATTCTCCCCCAGGAGATTTTTTTAAATACTAACATATAAACTAGACTTTCTGGTACACTGAGAAGAAAATAAATAAATGTATTACTACCCGACATATTAATAATATTTAATGCCATTGTTTGTTTTTCACTTTGTTCTGAAGCTGAACTTGCTGCTCCTCACAGAGAGAAGAGCAAAGAGGAGAGAGTCTGTGTGAATTACTTTAAATAGCCCCCATTGTTCTGTGACCTGTCAATCATCAAACCGGGGGTCATATTTCATTATGTGTTCATTTGTATCTGAATATGTACCCATGGATGTATAAAGAGTAGTTCTACCGCAGTTAGTTATTCTGCCGTTATCTTGATTCTGATTGCTGATGTTTTTTTGAGTCTTCTGGCCAAAGATGTTTTATTGAGAAGATGATCACTACGTGACAGAAGTTTTCGAAACCGTTTATGGTCTCCGGTACTTCCAGTCCAGTTCCTACTGCATGCACAGCGTTAGAAAATTACAAGCGTTACAAAACTTTTTTTTTTCTTCTGTGACAAATGTGGTTCACAGATACGTGGATATTTTATACAAGTGGAAATGTATGCACACAAGCTCAGATTTCTTTCCTGCAAGTGCTCACATCAGGTTTTACAAGCTCTCGCATTTTGCACCATATCTACCTTCATAGAGATGGTGCAGAAGGTAAAGTTCCAGAATCTGTAAAAAGGATTTAACTGCAAGGTCACATTGTTTTATTTTCAGTACGATAAAACATTAGTCTTTTTGGTCTCTTTACATAATGTGTTGCCAGTCTATTAGTTAAAGCCTTTTAATACCGCCATCAAGGTCTGTAAAGGTTTCAACATGACAAAAAATGGGAAGTTTCTTTTAAAGAAATAAACATTGTTTACCAGGTATTACTTTAAGCCCTCACGAATGGCCCGATGTTGTTACGATCAGAGCCGAATTTGAACATTTCCTTTATCGTGTGTCGTTATAGTTTACTTGTCTGCTAATTTGTGTGGGCTGATGTCATTGAGATTTGTGTCAATTAAAGTGACTTTTAGTTTCGTTTCTATACAACGTCTTGCAAGCACTCATGTTTTTTGTAGGTGAAACACACAGCACCGGTACCTGAACCCCTGAAACACTCCTCACTGACAAACAATACCTGTCTGAGATTCTTGTGTCTTCTGTGGAAAACTGCAGGCTGTTACACTGTACATGTCTCCTAGATCAAATGAATGTATCTTTGGGTAAATAATGTTGTATTACTGTAAGAGTTAAATGTGGGGAAACTGGAATAATTTGTGCCGCAGGAGCTCAGTCTGATGGATTGGCCTTGGGAACTGAGCGGTGGCAGCTTCAGGTCCTGATCAGACAGAGGGGGACAGGAAGCTGGAGAGAGGCCAGTTTGTTTCCTTGCCACTGCCGATGTGTCTTTGAGCAAGGAAGCAAACCTCCATCCCATTGCACCCCCTAAGCTCTGACACCTCTACATAAATGCATATGGCATTTCAAGCCTATTGTGTGATGTAAAGTCAATAACACCAGATTGAAAATGTAATTTCCCCTCGAGATGAATAAAGGTTGATTTTGGTAAACAGCAGGGGGTCAGCGAGGAACTAGGTTATCCCTCAAAGTTGCCTTGAAATATGGAAGGAACTATACTTGTAGAAGATACATATCTTGTCAAGATTCTCCATGCTGCTGGTAAAAAGGCTACCACTAAGACCTGGCTCAAGAGTGCAGAAAGTGCACAATGGCTGAACATGAAAGGGGATAGTCTAAAAATGGGGAAACTCACAGACCCAAAATGGTTTAGGTATCCAAAGGAGGTATACTAACTGTACTGTTTGAATATAATGTAGACTGTCCCCATTCAGGCACTGTTCTCTTTAAAAGGAAATCAATGATTAACTGTCAGTAATTATACACTGTAAAGAAAGCAAAAAAAGGAAGTATAAAAAAAATAACACCAGGAGGCGTCCACTCAGCAGTTGGTCCTTTATTATAAAACAGTAACAGAAAGATATGAGGCCACATCAGAGACTCATCTTGTTGAATACAGGACAGCTCCATATTTTTAAAAGCTGTCCTTATAAATGACATGTATGTTCCCCGTGTAGCCTATGATGTCTGCTGAGACTGACTACAAACACAGGTTTCCACAGCCGGAGCTCACACACATCAGGAACCATGCAGTATGAAGCTCTGCTCAGTCCCATATCTCTGACGCATGCTTTACCTTTCTTTAATGACAAGGACACGAGGGAAGATGGGAAAGGGACTGTTGTATTTCACTTGTTGTGATGGAGACAGATGCAGCCAGGTATCATGACAGAGGGAGACTCTTTGAACAGACCAGCAGTGGAGCATCCTTTCAAGCTAACACATCCTTTACATGCAATCCATGGAGGGAATCTGGGGGGGGGGGGGGGGGGGGGGTTATTAAGAGGGTTTACAGCAGCATGTGTGTGTTGTGGGCTCGGACATGCAGCCCTCCCAACACCACCTGCTGTCAGAGTCACACAGATATCCAGCTGACGTTATATTTGGCAGAGCACTTCTCAGAGACTTCTGTACAGATGTTATGAAGAAATGAAGAGAGTGCCCCCCCCGCTGCTGAACCCTCTGTAAAGACGGGCGTATATTTCAAAACAAGACACTCATTTTCAGTGCAGGCAGGCTTTGGCATTAAACATGGGCTGTGTTCCATCTGTCAGAGGAGGACCTGGTGGTGGAGGGGTCCAGTCTGCTGGGTAATGTAGTCCATGGTGGGTTCAGCCTGCCCCAGTCCTCCCACAATCCTCTCTGGCTCTGCGCTGTTCTCAAACGTGAGGAGGGGGGGCATCTGGGACTGATGCTGCCTCCAACACACTGACTGCAGGTCGATCACAGTGGGACAGAAAAATAACTATTACAAACTGCAGATATGGAGGAAGTATGTGACTAAGTAAAATTACAATACCATAAAACTACAGTGTAAAATACTCTGTTACAAGTAAAAGTTTTGCATTCAAAATTGTACTAAAGTAAAAGTAGAAAAGTGTTGGTGACAAAATATACATAAAGTACCTTATGTAAAAGTAATTATTATGCAAAACAGTCAATTTAAGCAAGATATATTTTTAATTATTGTATAAAAAATATTGTTGTATTTTTGTGTTCATCTCCTCAATGTGGCACTTGGTAAGGCTGGGGTTTATTTGAATGACTATACACTATAGCTTAACTTATAATATTATGTGTGTGGATTTTTATATTAATAACCTTATAATCGCAAAACCTTAAATCTGCAAAGTAACTTGTAACTAAATGTGTAAAATAAATGTTGTAGAGTAAAACATTTGCCGAGAAAATGTAATAAAGTAAAAGTATCAAATAGGATAATGTTGATTACC